TATGGGGCCCAGAGCAGTTATACAGGGGTCAAAAGTAGTTCTACATAGGGCCAAATGCAGTTCTATAGGGGCCAGGATCAATTCTATGGGGCCAACAGCAGTTCTACAGGGGCCAGGAGTAGTTGTATATGGGGCTAACAGCAGTTCTACAGGGGCCAGAAGCAGTTGTATAAGGGCTAACAGCAGTTCTACAGGGGCCAGAAGCAGTTGTATAGGGGCTAACAACAGTTCTATAGGGCCCAGGAGCAGTTCTAAGGGGACAATAGTAGTTCTACAGGAGCCAGGGGCCGTTTTTTTGGAGCCAGGATAAATTCTAAGGGTCCAAGAGCAGTTCTACAGGGGCCAGGATAAATTCTAAGGGGCCAGGAGCAGTTCTATAGGGTTAAGGAGCAGCTCAATAGGGGACAAGAGCAGTTATGGCCCTCCAAGTAACTGTGTCACACCTTCTGGTAACACATACTCAACTTGCTAATCACGTATCCAAATATTGAAATTCTCCTAAAAAGATGTAAGAATTTGTTGGAGACGATAATCCAGGAAGTTTATTCCTATCTGATCTGAACCTCTTTCAAACAGTGCCAGACAATTCCAAGTTTTTAATATTTGTTAATATTCAATAATTTGGTCCTTTATAGTCTAAACCATAAAAGGGACATGAAAATTACACAGTGAACTGATTCCAGATGCTTCTGGGCTCCTAAACGCGTTGAATGATTGTGAGTGATGTGTTTCTGGATCTAAAAATGCAAGAGCGACAATAAAGATCATTCCTATTATGAAGATGGGAGATTGCAGAACTCCAGAGCCTGTTTTTTCCCTCCAATGTTCCTCTTGAAGGCATAGAAGTTGACGTGAAAATGTAGAAATCAAAATTTAAAAGGCTGATCTTTATGACCAGCCTCCTCCTGGATGCACAAATCACCAGATATTTTTAGCCCTGTGTTACTGACTGGCAGCAGCTGTAAACCCGATCCAATTCACCTCCAGTTGACAGACAGAACCGATGCAGAACTCTACAGTCTTTTACCCAGCAGAATAAGAACCATTCGGGTTCTCTGGTTGAATAAAGCTCTTGTTCTTTTTTACAGCTGAGCCAAGCAGCCACCCATCATTCCTTTAGCTCACTCTGTCTCATCCTGTGTTGTTAAGGAGTTTTACCTAAACTCAAAAAGGTAAATAATTTGAAGGAAAATATAAAAAAAATATATAAATTTCAATATATTTCAACAGAATGTTGATCTATAACTGAGCCAGTTTGTTATATTTGGACTGGACCCAGTTCACTGGACCATAAAACAGAAACTAACCAGACCAAGCAAAATAAAAAAATAAAAAAAACTAATCAGATCAAACCAGACCAAGTGTAATGACTCACAACCGAGAGACTCAGTTTTCAAGCAAGACAGAAAGCATTTATTTAAAACTGGTGGACAGCGGATCTGCAATAGCGGTGGCTAGGGCNATGACTCACAACCGAGAGACTCAGTTTTCAAGCAAGACAGAAAGCATTTATTTAAAACTGGTGGACAGCGGATCTGCAATAGCGGTGGCTAGGGCATCTATCACAGGAAACTCTGGTTTAACAGTTCAGTCTATGCCCAGAGAACAAGGAAGGATCCAGTGGGCTGCCAACAAAATGTGGCAAAAAGAGTGTCCCAGATGTGAAGACCATGCTGGAATACGAAGCCAGATCAGGCAAACAGATCATAACAGGAACAGGCAGGCTCAGAGGTTGAGAAGCAGAACATTTCAGGGTCAGGAAATCAGAAATACCAAGGAAATATAAAAACACTCTCATCACTGGCTAGAGAGAACAAGAATAATCTGTCCCTGATGACTGGATGCAAGCACCTTAAATAAAGGCAGGACCAGGTTGATCAGATTAGGGGTAATGAGCAACCGGGCAGAGTTAGATAGGTGAATTTAATGAGTAAAGAAACCAATCATCAGTGCCAAGATTATGACATCAAGGCAAGGCAATTTTATTTGTATACAGTAGCACAATTCAGTACATGGACAATTCACGTGACTTAGATAATTAGATAGAAGAAAAATAAAGGCAGAAGAAACATAGAAACATTTGTAAAGCTAGAAAAAAAGACCAGACCAAATGAGACCAAAGCAGACCAAAGCAAACAAGACCAGACCAGAACAGACCAAACCAGACCAGACCAGACCAGACCAGACAAACCAGACCAAAGCAAACAAGACCAGACTAGACCAGACCAATCCAGACCAGATAAACCAGACCAAAGCAAACAAGACCAGAACAGACCAAACCAGACCAAAGCAAAACAGACCAGACCAATCCAGACCTGATAAATCCAGACTAGACCAACCCAGACCAAAGCAAACAATACCAGAACAGACCAAAGCAAACCAGACCAGACTAGTCCCGAGCTATCCAGACCAAACCAAACCACACTTAACCAGACCAAACTAAACCAGATCAGACCAGACCTAACCAGACCAAACCAAACATGGTTACAGCTTCCTGAAGGTGGAGGATCATGCACCAGAGCCGTTGTCCCCNACCAGATCAGACCAGACCTAACCAGACCAAACCAAACATGGTTACAGCTTCCTGAAGGTGGAGGATCATGCACCAGAGCCGTTGTCCCCTTCATGGGTCACCAAGCTTCCACCTGGTAGATAGAGAATGAACAGGAATCCAGATTTTTGACTCCTGAGGATCTGAACTGAAACAGAACCAACAGATCGATGAAGCCTCCTGTTACACCGACTCAGCACATCCTTTTCTGATCCGTTGTTAGCAGTCAGAACATGAAGATCTAGTCTTATTGTTTAGAAGCAGCTTCCCTTGTCATCCTCCTCTTCCTCTCCCCTCTCAGTCAGCAGGATCAATCAGAAAAAAAACCATTCGGATGAGTCGGACTTTAAAGGATTTCTGATCCTGCAGCGTTCTCATGTTTCCTTTGTGCCTTCAGGCCGCGGCTGGTAGAACCGTCTGCTTTCAGCTGTTGCCACTTCTACATCAGACCCAGTCTCCTTCTATTGGACTAGTTTTTGGTCTAAGCTAGGGGTCTCTAAAGTCTATGGCTCATGGATAGATTATTCTGGGTCCCATGACCCCATTAAAAAAAAAAAGAACAAAATTGTCGGCAAAGGTGTTTGATAAAAAAGGAGACACGTTTAGTTGTGGAGTTTGAGTTTTCCACTGATAAAATCAAAATCTTCTTAAAATGGAAAATGTTAGGTACAACATGTAGTATCTCCAATAGTTTTTTGTTTGTTTATTTTGATGTCTCCATAAATAGAGACATTAAAAATTGGCAACCTAAACTCTAGGGACTCTGGGGCCCGTAACTAAAATTACGGTAGGATAAACAGAAAGCATTTTTGAGGAGAAAACAAATTCTTGATTTTTTATTTTT